GGTGCTGCTTCCCACCGTCTCGAACTGGGTCGCACTGGTTGGAGTAGGGGGTGAGCAAGTTGTCCTGGGTAGTTTGAGGGCTCTTCGAGTGTGTACGCTGTACTTGGTAGCCCGTGAGCATGCGAGGACGCGCTGGTGTTAGCATCGCGACACGCACAAACACACTCACGTCGGAACCGGAGCTGCCCAGACGCACCGAGTCGAATCCGAACCTGTTTGGGCCTCACCGGTCGCTGCCGTTGCTGCAGGTACGGAACGCCCCAGGGGAAAGGAGGGGCCGGTGGCTGCCGCTCTGCCGGGCTTCCGTATCGCCGTGGGCATCGCGAATCTATAACACGAGGATGCATCCGCCCCAGACGTCGCGTCCCGCACCTCCGTCAGATCTCGCGGGCAGATGAGTTCATGCCGAGGAGGGGGGCAATCACCGTAGGGCGACATTGCACAAGGAAGATGAAGAATGCTGCGCGCCGGGGTGTGATGTTGGTGGTGGTGGTGGTGCCATGCCGGGGTGTAATATTGGGTCCATGGCTGGGAAGGCCCACGTCGCACCAAGAAGCATCCATTCCTTCGTCCAGTTTGCTTCGTACGACGGACACTGCGGGCGACAGTGAGAGAGTGCACGGTGCCGACTCCGGACGGACAGACGCGCGCACAGGTCTCTCGCGCAAAGTCCAAGTCAGGGGTCACGGCGTCGGAAGCCCGTGCCGAGGCGAGGCGCCGTGTGGCCCGCTGCACCGCATCGACGCGGGAAAGCGTGTTGGTTCCTTTGGACCAACGTCCGGGCCGAAGGCGTGTTGTGTCCGTGTATGCGTATGTATCGGTCTGTGTGTCTGGTCGGGCGCACAAAGAGTCGACGTATGTCCTTGGTATGTGTCTATGTGCCTGGGCATGCATGTATGTGCGCACGACGTCGCGGGCAGCGCATGTCTCGAAATGCTTCCGAGTCGTTAAGCGAGTCCGCATGCGCATACGAGGAAAGCAAATGGCAAAGATATTGTTAGAAGCAGAGCCCCTCTCGACCCCGGCTCGCCAAGGGCGTGCGCGCCATCATTTCTCGTGTTTGCTACTCCTGCTGTTAGTCGCAAGGTATCGTCAGTCAACCCCTGTCAATCCGTCGGTGCCGAACCGAGACCCAGGCCAGCGTGTGGACGAAGCGACGCAGCTGGCCTCGAACACAGCCGAGACCGACGGAGCAATCAGATGGACCTGTACGGAGAGGAGAACAGGGCGGGCGACAGGCGACGGACTGGGTAGGGGTTTCGTGGACGGCGCAGCCAGACCAGCAGCCAGCCGACCAGGCGGCCAGCCAGCCACGGACAGAATTGGAACCCAGAGAAGCGCTCGCAAACACTTTGACGGGCGCGTTGGATGGCAAGCGGTGCAGGTTTGACGGGCAAACAAGCTGATGGGCTGACAGACGGAGGGATTGACGACGGACAAGGGGGCCCGGATGGAGGCGCAGGTGCAAAGAGACGGGAGACCGACCAAGCAATGCAAGATGCAGCAACAAAGCTTGCGCGGTGAACCGTGACGAACGAGCCCCGACAAGGTCAAGTCGTGAAGTTTGCGACTTGCGTGCGTGCGAGACGGTAGAATGTAGGTACGATGTAAGTACATACTCCAAAGTACGTTCTTCGTACAATGTACCTGCCCTAAGTTATTTGCCGAGACCGACATCACTGGGCAATTACCTTGCTTCGGGTATAACCTGGAATGTACCTTTCGAGTCGCTACTTCCCCCGACGATTGCTGGCTGCAACAGCAACTGCGACCGGAGGGCCAAGGCCAACAGCGCTCATGTTTATCCTCAGGCATTCATTCATTCATCCATCCACCCAAGGAGCAGACAGAGGTGAGGGAGTTTCTCTTCCGCTGAACGAACCACGGCTTCCATCGGCCATCTTTTTAGGTGCCCACGGACGTCTGCGGCACTCGACTTATCCATCTATGCTTTCTACTAGCACCAAGGCATGCAGGCGATTAGAAGGTACGGGAAGACCTCTAGGTGACCGACCGTCATGCAGCATCACCAAGTCAAACGCCGGCCATCGACATCGACGCGCCTCCATCAAATGCACCGCGGCCATGTCGAGGGCGGGTGCGGGTGCATCGCCCCTTGGCTGGTAAGAGCAGCCATGGAATCAGCCATCAAACCACCAGTCTCCACAACCGAATCATCACCATCTCTCGCACTCTTCATCTCTTGCGACATTGATATCGCCGTCGCCGTCGCCGTCGTCATCGTCGTCCTCGTCGTCATCGCAGCCGTTGTCGCAATTTGTCGTCGTCCATCTGCGTGCCGCCGACCTCGCATCCGCCTTCCCCCCCACCTGAACCAGAGTCGCAGGTCGTGCCGCCGCCGCCGTCGCCGCCGCAGCCGCCCGCCCGCCAGCCGCAAACAAGCCAACGCCATGCCAGGCCATGCCATCCCACATGTCAGAAAACCCTCCATCCTCCCGCAATTCAAGCTTTCTTGGCCGCTACGTCCTGGGTGTGGCCACCTTCCTTATCCACCCCCCCGCCTCGTCCTTTCTGTACGCCCCCCACAATCAAGCACACCCAAAGACACGGGCGCCAGGGCGCCCGCGCAACTCACGCACACACACACAAACACAGC